TGGATCATAATCACCCCCTTATAAACAAGGCATGGACTCCCCAGCGACCCCCGTGGGCTTATCTCCGCCACTTCTCAGTCTGGTGCCCCGCAATGAACCATGCTATACAAAAGATAAAGCCGTTGCCCATGCTGGCTTGTGGTTGGCACGATAAATGTTTCACAACCGAAACTCGTGAACCGGTCCTTAATTGTCATGAGCACGACCATCAAAACCATGTGCTCACAACCCACCATTATCAGGTTTTAGTTGGCACATTAATTAATTAACCAATCACGATTGTCCATCGTGAACTATCAATAAGCCATCATGAAATAATAGTGAATCATTAGTTATCCCATAAGTGTGCTAAGGTTTCTAAGCAGGGCTAAGCAATTATATCTAATATCTAGTTGAACCAATATAAATAAAGCTCAACTAGTCAAATTATTATAACCCAAGGTATCAAGGAATAAAGTAATCAAGAACAAAAGGGCTATAACAAACAATAGGTTAATTCCACCCAATGACATTCGAAAATAAATGCAATAGTTGAAAAGAAACAATAGCTTTAAATAGGATCAACATGCTCAAAGGGTTGTTTGGGATCTGTGTGACTTGCCTTGCTGGCCTTGGAACTCTTCAAACTCTTCTCCGGCGAAAACGGACTCTCCGGAAACGACGGAATCTAAGCAGAAAAGAGCAAAATCACCAAAACAGTACATAAACAAGCATGAACAGTACATGTGGATATTTTTAATGTGTAGATCTCAATTTTAGAAAAATTTAGAGACTTGAACCAACTAAATCGGATCTAAGATGAATTAGTTATGAATTTTTTAAAGATTTAATCGGATTAAAACACTTAAATCGGTTAAAATTGAATTATGACGCAATAATGAATTATTTTTGAAAAGGAAAAGAGGGTTTATTGCGTCAGCGGCTAGGGTTTTGGTGGACCGAGCGTACGGGCGGCGGTTCACGCGAACGGACGGCCGAGATCGATCCAATCCAAAACGGACGGCCGAGATCGAACGGTCCACGACCGGCTCACGGCGGACGACCCCGATGACGTCGGCAATGACGTCACCGACAGCGGCGGCGGCTCGGCGGAGCGGACGGCTCGGGCGGCGCATGCTCGCCGGCGAACGGCGGCGCGAGGACGCAAACGGAGGGCACCAGCACGTAGAGGACGACGCGACGAACACACCGGTGACCAAAACGGCGGCGGAAAAACAACGAACGACGACGGCGACGAGGAGGAAACGGCGGAAACCTTCGGGTTGTCGACGGCGACGAAGCTCCAACGATCTCCGGCGACGGCGAAGGGGCGGACGAGGACGGCGACGACTTGGCGACCACGACGACGGTCTTCCCGAGCGACGGCGACGTCTGGAACAGCGGCGGAGCACGGCTGGAGCGGCGGCGGCGACGGCGAAGCTAGGGCACACGGCGCTAGAGCGATTCCGACGACGAGAGGCGAAGGCGAAGGTGGCGACGGGTAGAGGAGACACCGGGGGTCCTTTTAAAGGGGCTCGGAGGCGGCGGCGAAGGCCCACGGCGACGGCAACGGCGAAGGAAAGCTCGGGAAGAACAAATCCGAGATGAACTCGAATCCAACTCTTTCCAAAGTGATTTAGCCAAAGATTCCAAAGGAGAAAAGGTAGAGGAGATCCCGGAGATTGTTTCCCCTCTATTGATTCGGCCGGAGAAGGAAAGGAACGGCCGGATTTGGAAGGGAAACGGCGGCGGCGCGAAACTAGGGTTTCGGGCGGCGGCGGCCGAAGGTAGACGACGACTGACAGGTGGGCCCCACCTGTCAGCGACAGCGAGGGCGCGCGCAGCTGCGGCGGACTGGGCCGGCTGGGCCAAGGAGAGAGAAGAGAGGTTTTGGGCCGACTTTCGGCCCAAAGCCAAAAGAAGACTTTTTAAAACCTTTTTCAATTAAAATTATTTCTTAAATGCAATTCCATTTATTAAAAATACTTTCTTAGCTCAAATAAATCCCAGAAAAATCTAGGAATTATAGAATTAAGCAAAGTATTTAAGGAAATTTTATCTGGGCCCATTTTATATTGGAATTTATTAATTAAAAAATTAGATCTTCTTTTCAAGACTTTTTAAAATTATTTCTAAAAATTCCAATTAAACAACAATTTACATATTTTGAATTTTCAGGGTGTGACAGCTAATATGGTTTTGGGAATTGTAAGTTTTGGATAGTGCTATATGGTTTTCAGTGTGGTTTTTAATATGCATGACTTTGAGACACTATGCCAGCTGAAATCTTGTGATCGTATTCTAGAGGGTATGGGTGTAGTGCTGCTTAATTTCCTGAGCTACACAATTTTATTTGTACCGACGTTAGTTATATGCAGGTTCTTCGAGTAGACTGTTAAAAAAGAGAAAAAAAATAAGCTGCTTTGGGGTGCTATATGGTTTTCTTTTTAATTCAATTTTGTAGAGCTCTAGCATAACCTGTTCTAAATTCTAATGATTAGAAAAATTTGCTACCATTATGCATTCTACCAACATATATTAGCTAGTATCTGCCATTTTTCCTGAGATTGATTGGAGAAGTTGTCAATTTATCTACTTATTGCAGTGACTAGATTGTGATGGCAAATGAATGTGATTCCTTTGTGTGCATGATGTCCGAAGAGACCCATGTTGAGGCATATTCCTTGCCAATGCAAAATGAAGACCTTCATACTTCAACAAATGGTGCAAAAAGGAAGAGCCAAAAGATCAAGCAACTTTAATCGTAAGGAGGACATTCAACTGTGCATTTCATGGCAAAGCATTAGCTCGGATCCTATTATTGGCAATGAGCAACCAGGGAAGGCATATTGGCAAAGGATTGCAGAGCACTACCATGCTAACCGTGATTTTGAGTCTGATAGGAATGCAAACTCTCTTGAGCATCATTGGGGTAACATTCAAAAGGAAGTAAGCAAGTTTCAGGGCTGCTACGAGCAAATTGAGCGTCGACATCCAAGTGGCATACCACATCAAGAGCTTGTAAGTTAAATTGTTATTCATTATTATTAATAACAATCTTGTATGTATGTGAACTAACACTTGAATTTTGCTTCAAGTTCTTGAAGCCGAGGCATTGTATTCATCCAATGCACCGAAGAATAGGGCATTTCAGTTTAATCATTGTTGGCTCAAGTTGAGGAATTCTCCAAAGTTTCAAACTCTAGAATCCCACAAGAGGCCAAGGTCTAGGAAGTCTTCGACCCTAATTGAGAGTGCTGGTGAAGAAGATGAAGAAGGAGATGATGCTAGGAAGAGTACAACTCCTGATTTATTACAGCCAAGTGCTAAAAAAAGACCAATGGGTAGGAAGCAAGCAAAGGAGAAGATGAAGAATGGAGAAGATGGACCATACAAGGAGGCGATGAAAGATTTGCTTGACGCCAAAGAGAAAGAAGCTAAAGTGAAAGAAGAGAGATGGAAGGAAACTAAGGAGATTCAAGAGCGCAAGCTCTTATTTGCTGAGCGTAAGTTAGTGTGGGATCAAGAATAGAAGATCATGTTTTGTGATGTTTCCATCTTGGAACTAGATGTGAGAACATATGTGTTGGCTATGAGGACACAAATTGCAGCTTCAAAGGTGGCTGCCCTCAATGGTGGATTTGATGGTAGTAGTGGCTTTGGAGGTGAGTTTGGTGGCAGTAATGGAGAAGTTTGAGCACTTCAATGGAATAAGTTGGATCGTTTTGGATGATCCATGTGTCCTTTGCTAGTAGGATATGTCATTTCCACGATTGGTTCTTGGAGTCCTTTTGTGTTAATTTCTGCAATTATCTAAGTGTCATTTGCTAGTAGGATATATACTACTTTTAGATTTGCTATTTTTATGAACGAACCATTCATTCTTGTAGGGTGTGTTATTTTTAAATTATATAATGCATCTCCGCAAAAAAAATAATGCATCACTGGGTTCACATAGCCTATTGTGGTGATATGGAGACAGCCAATGACATGTTGGTGAGAAATTTTTGTTTTCATTGGTGAACTATAAATTTTGGTTGCATGTTGTTGTATATGGCATTCTGCCCACACCATATTTACATGTTTGAAAATTTTGATTTTGGTTCTGAATTGTGGCGTTTGAAATTGTAAATTTAACTATGTTTCAATTATACGCGTTAGAAATATTTATGTTTAATTATTGTGGTGTTAAACATAGTGTAAACAAGGATTGCATGTTAAAATAAAAGAGAAACATGAGTAGGGGCTAAAAAATATGGGCTATTGCTAGAGTTGGAGGTATTTTTTTTGATCATTGGAAGATGGGAGCAGCCCTCATTTAACTTTTAGGGGCTTTAAAGGGAGCGTATCCTATGCACACAGGCCCTCGCGTGTACACACCGTGTACACCAACTAAAAATTATCACAAAAAATTCTAGAAAAATTCTATGACATCTACGTGCAAAGTCGCATATTCAAATTCATTCTACATAGAGAATAACAAAAAAGATAAAATTCTGACAAAATTGCAACCTTAAAACTGTCAGATTTTTTGTTTTTTTTGTTACGGCTAAAATATAATGAATTTGACGTTAAGATTTTAACCCTAGGTGTAATACAATTGAAAGTATGTGTATGATTTTTTCTAGATTTTTTGGTGACATTTTTTAGTTGGTGTGCACGTGTGTACACGTGAGGGCATGTGTGCATAGGATACGCTCCCGGCTTTAAAATAAGGTTTATTGCTGGAGATGCTCTAAAACCTCTTGTTTTGTGGTTCTAAATTTTGAATTTTTAGTTTTATAACAAACTTGAGCTATGGCTAGTTTATTATGAATTTTGTAGTCTTGTAAATCTTCGTACATAAGGAAGAAGAAAAAAAAGTTGAAAATAGATAGCCTAAATAAAAAGAAAAGAAGAGAAATGACGTCGGAAAAAAGAACACAATAACCGACGGTGGTCCCCGCTGGCAGCCTCTCACACCGCCTCCTGTCTCGCCTCCCCACCTTGGGTTTGACCTGGACTGGACGTGCCAAAGCCAATTCCAACACCGCCACGACGCGACTCACGCCTATAACGATAGCCCCCCTCTCTTCCCTCCCCTCTCCTCTCCTCTCCGCTTCCTAATTCCCCTCTGCATCCTCCTGCTCGACGAGGTACGGACACCCCCCGCTCTTCCTCCCTCCCTCCCTCCCCCGCGCCTCGCCTCATCGAATCCCCTGTGTCCCGCGGGGATTCGGCGCCGGCGTCCGCCCAATTGGTCGGCCTCGGCTCGGGAGACCACCGATTCAGCGCCTCGACTTGGTCGGGCTCCCCGCGGGATCTTTGGTGGTTCCTTTTTTCGGGGGATTGTTCTTTCATGCTGGCTGCTCGATTCGCCTCTTGGGGGTTTCGATCCGCTAGCGTTAGTTGTTCCTAGGGTTTCTTGGGCGATCGTCTGGGTCGGTAGGTGGATTCTTCACCTAGGGTTTCTAGTGAAATTGCGTTTAGGTTTTGGGATGATGTTGTGCGCCGGCGATGGGTCGAGCAGCTTTTTGGGTTGTTACGGTCGCGGAAGCTTCATCCCGTCGTGGATGCAGCGTAGTTCCTCGGTTCTGTTTAGGCTATTTCCCCCCTTTAGCGCGGTAGTTGAGTGTGGTGTCTGGTAGGCTTTACTTTGTACTACTAAGCTGCATGTTTTTACCTCTTGAGATTTGGTGTTGACTTCTTGTTAATTCCCCTCCGCAGCGTAGTTGACCCCATATGTGATTGATGGATGATGACCGTTCCGATGGATAAAGCTACTGCTTCCCCATCATCAAGGGAGCTTGCACAGCGGCTCTTAAAGAAGGTTTGCTCTTTTCAATGTTTCTGCAATCTGCATTGCCTGTGAGTTTCTGTAGTAGCATGCAAGGAAAAGATTAATGGTATATGTGTGAAGTTGTCATGAACCCTCTTCAAACAGCTAACATGCAACTGTTTTTGGCATACTGTGGTCCTGTGAGCTGAGTTGCGCAGATGATCTCCTGTCACCATCCATCTCATTCCATGTTTACAGTCATCTCTATGTGACTGTTCCTTCTGTCCTTCGTCCCAGACATTGCTTACTGAGCGTTGACTTTCCCTATCTGTGTGTGCTATCGCTGTATACATCGCATTGCTTTGTCTTCCTCGCACCAGATCATACGATCCTATCTAATGCTCACTATTTCATCTATCTGTAACTGCAATTGTCTAATTGTGTTTGTCGGTTTGTCCAGGGCTGTTATATTTTCTTGTAAACAATGCAATAGTTACATCTTTGGTTATTTTCTTTCTCCTAAAAACATCTTTTGTTACCTGCCTTTGTCACCTGTTCATGCATGTGTGTAGGACATTTTTCTGTATGTACTTTTACCATTAGGGAAAATGCAGCAGAACTGTGCACATTATGTCTTGTCCCCTTTGTGATATGCCCTTGGTTCTGGCTTCTTCCCATTTATACCGCATTCGTCCCACGGTGCTAGTTAGCTTGCACATTAATCGATAGTTGCACACACGTGCTTGAGTTGTAACTGAACTTTTGTGCCCACAAATTTCCATCCCCTTTAAACAGTTTCACTTGACCAAATGAACCACATTAGCATGGTCAGCATTACAATTTGCTTGATTGAAAAATGGAAATGTTCCAGGTGATGAATTTAAAACATTCACTTGTATTAAAGCTAACAGTTTTATGTTCCTGTGCTTTGTGATGTGGCATTTGCTAGCTACAGCTAGCTGTGAAGTGGATTAATTATGGGGCAATTATTTAGTCATATTGGTAAATAGATATAGAGCAAATGGGGTGGTAGCTATATATTTTATATTTCATGTTTGTAACATATGTATTTTGTGGTATATATATGGGTTCCTGTGTTGATGGGGTAAACTGTGTTTCAAACAATGCTGTATTTTTAATTCATATTTGTTGAAGCCTTGTGGAAAAAGCGCCAAGAAGTGAAAAACCTCTGTATAATCTACTACTAGTTGGCATACTGGAATGTGTATTCGTTTTCCTCTCTGTGGGTTAATGCTATCTGACGATGTCCGAGAGAAGTTTATGACCATAATCACGTTGTTCATGGAACTGAGTTAACTTTAAACTAGATGCAGATTTGAAATGTATGTGATCTCCACCAAATGAAAAAGCTGTCCATGGTTTTGTGGAACAGTTGACTGCTCATTGTTCATAATATGTATATAGATAGGTCACCTTTTTTGGCTTCTGAGTTGAGATGTTAAAGCTTTTAGAATTTTGATGTCCTTGATCTAGCTTTGGAGTGCCTATTTCCTTTTACTATTTATTGGATGCATATGGCCTATTTCCTTTTACTATTTATTGAATGCTTATGTCTGTTCCTTTTAATTCCTTCACTAAAATTCTCTCCTGGTGCTTTCACATGGTGTTTCTTCCACTTCTATAGTTTATTTCAAGACATGAAACCTTATGTTGAAATAGATAGTGTATACGAGTGAGTAATGATAATGATGTTACTTCTGCAGAACGCTGAACATGAAAGTCGTCTGCGAAGGTCAGCACAGTCCAAAGTGCCATCAGATCCTAACATATGGTTTCAGATGCGTGAGAACTATGAAAAGATAATCCTTGCTGATCATGACTTCTCTGAAAAACGTGAGATAGAATATCTTCTGTGGCAGTTGCACTACAAAAGAATTGAGGAATTCCGAGCTCATATTGTCTCTGCTGGGAAGAACAATGCCAATCCTGATCGGATCAAGAGGATCAGATCTTCTGTTAGAAGTTTCCTCTCAGAAGCAACTGGTTTCTATCATGACTTGATGCTGAAAATTCGGTCTACTTATGGGCTTCCGTTGGGCTACTTCTCTGAGGGTCCTGATAGTTCTGTTGTTCCTGATAAAGATGGGAAGAAAGTGGTTGGGGTGAAAAAAGGCTTGTTGTCATGCTATCGCTGTTTGATATATTTAGGAGATCTTACCCGATACAAAGGTCTGTATGGGGATGTGGATTATGCAAGTCGTGAATATGCTGCAGCCTCTATCTACTACAAGGAAGCAGCTTCGCTGTGCCCTTCGAATGGCAACCCACATCATCAGGTATGCAGCATGTCGCTGTAGTAATTTTCTGCACCATTAGTACAAAACTTGTTTTGTGTGCTTGAATGGCGATGGTACTGATGAAAAGGTTTTTGTGTTCTTGCTCAGCTTGCAATACTGGCATCATATGCTGGAGATGAGGTAACAGCTATCTATAGGTACTTCCGTAGCTTAGCTGTGGATAATCCTTTTTCTGCAGCGAGGGAAAACTTGATTCTCGCATTTGACAAGGTATTATGCTACCTTCATGATACTACTTTAGTATGATCCTTGTTTTCCAGTATTGTGATTGGGTGTTGAAGCTATTTTTCCTTGGTGAACCTTGAAATGATACTGCATGATTTTATCTAGCTAGGAGATAGTCGATCTTGTTGGATTCCGTTGTTCAACAGTTTGTACACAGAAAATTCGTATCTTTACTGGTGTTTAGCCTATTATTATCCACTTGTGGAATTCTTATTTAGACTAGAAAAAATGCCCGTGTGTTGCAACGGGTGAAGGCTATTTTAGTCTTATTTTTATTGTTATACGGTTTATCTTGGGTGAAAATCATTGTGGGAATTCGCTTGTATATATATATTTTTAGAAAATCATGAGTTGTAATTAGGAGTCTGACTCTCGTCTCAAGTTAGCATGCGAGTTTTTTTAAAATGATTTCTTATACGACTCCTTTTGTATTTCCAAAAGCGTCCCAAGTTAGCATGCGAGATTTTTTAAAGAGATTTCTTATAAGATGTCTTTTGTATCCAAAAGCGAACGAACTTAAAAACCGACTCAAACACAGATCTGTATTTCTAAAAGTGAACGAACTTAAAAACCGACTCAAATACGAATGACCTACCAAAATACTGATAAAAACATCTTCAATTTTTATAATCTTATTTAGATTCCATAAGATAAGAAATGTTCTGCAGTTTACCAACTGGGTCAATAAAAACGTTCTTACTTATATTATTATTGTACAGCTGTTCTTTCATTGATTGCAGCGTGTCTTTCATACTTCCTCCCTAGAAAACTATAGAGTGTACTCCCTCCGTGGGGTGGAGGAAGTATAATATTTTGAAAAGGTCACTTTTTTTTTTATTTTGACCAACGGTTGTCAAATTATAAGTATATTTAGTGCATAGAAGTTATACCAATAGATTCATCCTTCTAAGAGCTTTTATAAAACATTATTAGTTTTATAAGTATTGTAAATATATTTTATAATAAAACACATCATATAATTTTCTCAAAAGACTTCTTCAAATAATATACACCCTATAATTTTTTGAGGGAGTTCTTTATAGTATCTGATGCACATAACACAAGAATGGAGAAATGCACCGTTTAGCCTTGCAGTAGATTTGGACCAGTGTGTACAAGTGCCTAGGGGGTTTCTCCTGTCAGCTTCTTATTATATTTGATGAGCAAATTCAGAATCCGAATTTTGCTGTGCGGTGGATCTCAAACGCTTATAGTTTCATATGCAGAATCATGATATCTATGCTCAGCTATCAGGTAATAGCAAGGTTCCCAACGCTAAGAGCTTGCCATCCAGATCAGTTGGTAGGGCCAGAGGAAGGGGTGAGACAAGATTTCAGCCCAAAGGTTCTAGTACAGAAGAAAATTCAAAGGAGCGAGAGCACAGTATTCAAGAAATACTGAAGGCTTTCTATATTCGATTTGTTCGCCTCAATGGAATTCTTTTCACAAGGACAAGGTACTTCGTAAAACACTTCTGTGACTCATCTTATTCTCTCTTTCTTTGTCTCCTAAAATGTCTTGCTTTTTTCCTCTAATAGCTTGGAAACATTTGGGGAGTTGTCTGCTACAGTTATCAGCGATTTGCAAATTCTTCTTTCATCTGGTCCTTACGAGGAGCTTAATTTTGGTGTTGAGGCTGCTGAAAACGCGCTTTCTGTTGTTAAGCTTATTGCTATCCTTATATTCACAGTGCACAATGCAAACAAAGACGCAGATAATCAATCATATGCTGAAATTGTGCAACGCAGAGTTCTTCTTCAAAATGCATTTGCTGCAGCCTTTGAATTTGTTGGATACCTTCTCAAAAGATGCGCAGAGCTTCATGATGTTGCATCAAGTATCTACTTGCCAGCTATTTTGGTCTTCATTGAATGGCTGGCGTGCCATCCAGATTTTGTGGCTAGTTCTGAGATGGATGAAAAGCAAGCCGATGCAAGATCTTTCTTCTGGAGTCAATGCGTGCCATTTATGAATAAGCTCATTTTGACTGGTCTCGCACATGTCGATGGTGATAATGATGAAACTTGCTTTTTTGACATGGGCACATATGAGGAGGGTGAAACTGGGAACAGGCTTGCGTTGTGGGAGGATGTTGAGTTAAGAGGGTTTTCGCCTTTGGTACCTGCTCAAGGTATCTTGGACTTCTCCACCAAGCAAGGTTTTGGAAGTGATGGAGGTACCAAGGAGAAAAAAGCACGTGTAGAAAGGATTCTTGCTGCAGGGAAGGCGCTGTTAAATTTCGTTCAAATTGATCAGCTGCGAATATATTTTGATGCATCCTCAAAAAAGTTCCTTATGGCTTCAGAACCTCCTCCTCCTGCTTCTTCTGTTCCTCTTGTTGTATCTTCCAATGCGCAGACAACAAATCACATACAACAGGAACCTGAAGTCTCCAGTAAAATTGGTTCTGTCGCAGAAGATCTAGGTGTGCTTCAGTCAAAGGCACAACTCTTTCTTGATGGAGATGATGATGAAGAAATAGTTTTCAAGCCTCCAGTTTCTGAAAAGCTTCCGAGAGTTACTTCAGAACAGACTAGTAATGAGTTATTACAGCCAGTGGTGGTGTCTGATGTCAATTGGTCAAATGATGGTGCACCACCACCAATGACATTTCAGAGCAATGGACCGGTTCTGACTCCCAATGTTTATGTTCAATCTCTCCCAATCTCTTCTCTTGGTTGGGCAGCCAATGCTGGGCAACATGTGATTCTTGATGTTGGTGCAAGGTCAACATCTGATATTTTTGAGTCTCTGAAAGCACCTGATCATAACTGGGTAAGCACTGGTGCACCACTTGTTGGCTCACTGGATACAGTCCCTATGGCGAGCTTTTCCAATATAATTTCGGATCAGCGTACACCTCCATCGTCACTCGGTTGTTTCAGTAACCCAGATAATACAGCCATACTCCCTGGGCAAGATTCATTCTTATTGAGTGCATTAAACAATGTTAACATAGGTGCAAGTGGATTTCTGGATCAAAGAGTGAATGGTGGACTCAGTGGATTACAGTCTGTGGGAAATGTGCCTCAGGTATCTGCTCAAGCTACTATGAATAGTACAAATCCAATGATTGGTCAGTATAAACATACTGAAGTTACCATCCCTTCTGCCTTCTATTCAGTTCTGCCGTCAGTAGTATCTTCTGATGGTGTATCAAAGAAAAATCCTGTCAGCCGTCCTGGAAGACATGTTGGCCCTCCTCCAGGATTTAACAATGCCCCTCCAAAGCGACAGGATGATTCCATTTTAGCTGGCAATGGCCAGCATGTTCAGACCAATGACGGCATCTGGTTGGATGGCTACAGGTCATCACTGGATTATGTCAATAATCAGCGTTTTGCACATTCAAATGTTACCACTGCCAGCAGTACTTTCACCACTCCCTTTCCTTTTCCTGGAAAACAAGCTTTCAGCATGCATCCTAGAGGTAGCGATGAAAAACAGTGGCAGGATTTCCACCTTTTTGGGCCCACAAAGCAACTTCCAGAACTTAATTTTCAGCAAGGGAACCAGCAAAATGGTCCACTGGCGGAACAATTACCAGCACAATCTGCATGGTCTGGCAATTACCTTGTGTGACTAGCTTGTACCATGAAGGTTAATTTTTTTTCTTGGGTGCCTCAATTTTGATAGAGTTTTTGGATGCAGAACTCACCTCCTTTTGTTGTACAAATACACTGAAATTCTCTGGTTCAAATGTATTATATTCTCTTTTGGTTTCAGGATTTGCTGAGAATCTGTTGGGAGTAAGTGGCGAAGATTGACACTTGAATTCGGCCTTGATAAGTACAGCCCTGTCATGTAATGTTTCTTTTGGAAGATGCTTGTCTTGGAAGCATAACAAGTGCTACCCTTGGAACTGGTAAGTTTTGAATGCACTTAATTGTGGTACTCCATTTCATTTTGTAATGCTTCTATTCCTTGTTTTGTCCTCATTTATCAGTCTCTCTCTTACACTAATATCTCACCTAATACACCTCACTAACACCATCATCTCTCCTATTACCAAGAAATTTAAGTATAGTATGGGTAGCATGGTCATTTTACTCCTTTTTCGCTTTGTTTCATACTCTTATGAATGAGAAGACGCATAAACTTTATCTAGCCCTACCTTTGCCCCATTAGACTGTTTATCTAAGATTATGTGTTTCTTGATAAATGAATAATTGAATTACATCTCCTTGATTCAATCATTTATTTCCTTGCTAATATTAGGAGTTCATTTGTAATCCCCTGGAGACGATTGTCTCTGTCACAATTCTTTAATTGATTTATACCAGCTAAATTAATAGTGCAGTTTAATTACTTTTTAGTTTTGATATTTTGTTTTTTCCTATTAATTTCTGCCTCATGATACGCTAGAATCTGAAGTTATTATCAAATTTTAACTTGAAAATTTGTCTAATCTTTTAATTGAACGTCAGTCCCCAAATAATTCAACTACCAACCACGTGCTCAGATGATGTAATTATCCAGAGAAGATTCTTCAACTAATAACCAAACGTATCATCTAAACAACTAATGTATGCTAAACAATCAGATTATGTCAATTACAGATGTTTACCTGTTGACTTACTGATTTACAGGGTATGGCAGGTCTTCCAGGCTATGAAGGGGATTTTAGATGATCCCTTCCATTGTCTGATGAGAATATGTACGGAGAGTTCTTTAACTTCTCAGACCCAGGGTTTTGACCTAATGAGTAATCTGCAATTCTGCATACGGGCAGTTACTGAGATGCGTCAGGTAAGTCCGTGGATTGGTTGCTGCCGTGGAAACTGAAGCCTTCACGAACGAATGGATGAAATTCTGTTTTTGGTGGTACTCTTGTCGATCAGAGCTATGAATAAAGTTGGTGATGACTGCTTCATGCTTGTGGATGTTCTTTCCAGCTATATTGTTCATGTGGTACATTGTTACTGCAAAGTCATTAAATACACTTAAGGATAAATCATTATGCAGTTGCTATCATATGATGTGCTATGGTAGCAACGTTTCGTGTTGGTATTTGTGTGTGAACCAAATGTATTATCAGCTTGATGAGCTGATCTTTTAAAACGTATTGACTTGTAATATGTTGTACAGAACGTCTTGCTTGTTTTAATACCGAATGTCGTGCTTGTTTTAATCTCTTTGGTTAGTTGCTTAAACAAATAATTGAAAGGGTCATTTAGGTTTAGAAGGGGGTTGTTGTGAATAGGCTAATTTAAAAACTCAATTAGGTGCGGAAGCTGAAATTTTCGAATATATCTGAAGGAGGTTCGGATATTTCTGAAAATGGCAGAACAGCGACAAACGCAATAGAAAATTGGATCTAGCTAGTCACAATAAAAAATATCAAGCACAAACAATAGCAAAGCTAGGGAAAAGGATATCACTGAAATTTGTTCCTTGGAAGTTTGAATCCATGAGGGGGTTATAATTTTCTTTGAGGAGCTCACAAAAACCTGGTCTTCACTGACCTTTTCCTCGAGAGCTTATACAAAGCATTATTTCTTCCATTAGTGGTATCTCTTCTCTTTCGGAGGTGAGATTCGACCTTCATAAACTTCACTATTTTTTTCCCTAGTGATATCTCTTTCTTTTCGGAGGTAAGATTCGGCCTTGACAAACTTATGCTAGCTAACCATACGTAGATTGATAGCTCAAAAGTAACAACTAGTCTTCTAGCACTTCTTAACCTCCAAAAGTAAAGGATGGAGCAAGAATCTCAATGGGATAAAATACGTCCTCAATAAATCTTCACGAAGTCAACACGAAACACTCACACGAACTTAAATCCACAACTTTCACACAAACGCACACAAAGTCCGAGTTTGAAGATCGATGCAGAGGAGAAATAAGAGAGCAAGGCTCAAAAGTGGATCTCAATGTAAATCAAGCCAAAGACAATAATGTTCAATAGCACCAGCAACCTTGGCTTGGAAGGGGAATGGGGGTATTTATAGTCGCATTCTCAGATCTGCTTGTTGGTGGGTAAATATTCTCTTTTTGTCATGGTGGCCAGATGATGGGTGTCCTACAAATCGACGCCGGCATGCTGCCGAGCTCGCCTCCATGGATGCTAGCCTCCTGTGCTCCTGGCGACGACGCTTGGTCCCGGAGAGCCACCGTCATCGTGCCTGTCCCTGCCTCCTGTCGCTCCAGCTCCTGCCGAACCCTATCCCCTGTTGCTTTTGCTGTATTGTTGACGGTGACGCAAGGATCGTCGACGGCTCCTACATGGCGAGACACGGCCCCGCCGCCAGCGGCATCCCCCGCGTCAAGCTCGGCGGCACGTGGTGGAGAAAGCCGCCGCTGACGACTCCGCTCAGCGGAAAGAGGCGAAGAAGGCCACCATGGCGGTGACAACGAGGATGTGGACGGCGGCATTGCCTCCGTCGACGCGTCGCCGAACCTCCTTCGCCCTCCGGCCTCCTCCCCACCCGTCGGCCGCCCTGCCGCTTGCCCAGTGAGAACATTGAGAGAAAGAGGATGAAGGGAGAGGAAGGGAAATAAAAGAGGTGATGAAGTGACATCCTGACATGTGGGGCCCACGTGGGTCGCTGATAGCCACCACGTCAGACAAAACCGGGGTCAAAACCACCGAAGGACCTAAAGTGAACGATTCTAAGTGGATGGATGTCCTATATCTGGTTTTTGCGGTTGGGGGATGATTTTGTAACTCGATGATAAGTTGAGGGACTTTCGGTGTACTTTTTCCTTAATTGAACCCCATTACATTTGTTTGTTTGTTTTGGGTGGCCTGCAATCGAATACACTGCAATCAGATCCGGGCCTAGTACAAATCCGTTACCGCTCCAAAACGAGTGGTAAAGCTTAACGATACGGAGCGGAAGCAACGCTTGTGTTGTCGCGAGTCTCGTGACCTAGCCTAAGCGCCGCCGCCGCTTCGCCTTCCCCACGCGGGTCGCCGGCGCCCCCAGCCTCACCGGTGTTGCTCCCCCTCCACGCGCTCGCCACCACCGCCGCTCCCCGAGTCCCGTGCGCGCCGCTGTCGACACCGGAGCTTGGCCACCTCGGCAAGGCCGGTGACCTCCACCACCTCCAGAGTTTCGTCTCTAGTCCATTCATGGATTCGACCCTAACAAGCGGCTTGACTTCGCCATCTTCAAGGAGACTGACCTCATCGTTCATCGACATCTCTTCAAGGAGGCCCCGCTCCCCTAGCCCCTAGCCGAAGATCCTGAGGTACACAGAGAAGGTGCCCAGGAGGTTCTCTTACCATCAATCACTATGTTTTCGTCGTTTTCACGGTCAATCACTACTCCTTGTTGGTGAGAACCCCTGCTGAAACCATCTTTTTTTGTCCAACTCTGCAACCTCTGAAATTTTCTAATAACATCTTGGGCCAATCCATTCTTTTAATCAGTAGTGCTCAAGATTTATGATGATATGCTTTAATTTGATGCAATTTTCTTGTGATTGATCTTGAAGTAAGAATTAAGGGATGGTTTATTTTTAGCAAAAGTTAATATGTACTCTTGTTCATTTGAGTGGCAGCTTGATGTATTATGTGTGCTACCGGGATATATTCTGGATATAGGTTTAATAATTGTTTTGATTTGTATTTTTTTATAAATTACTATGGCTCATCATCCCTTCCCTTAAGTACTAAAATCTGGAGAAGAAATGTAGGACTTAGAAATATGATGATTGATATTAAATTTAGAGTAAAATACAGCAGCGGTCCTTAAACTTGTCGTGAGGTTTCACTTAGGTCCACGAACTTGTAAAACGTACGTCGAGATCCCTAAACTTGGTTTATTGTATCATCCCGGTCCAAAGTCTCGTTTGACCGTGGTCTTACCAACGTGGCACGCCACGTGGACGATGACATGGAATTTTTTTTCTCCCTTCTTCTTTTTCTCTCCCTTCTTCTCCTTTTTTTTCTCCCTTCTTCATTTTCTTTTCTCTCCGGCGGCCGCTGCACCACGAGCTCCACAGCCGGGCCTCCATCTCCTTTTCCATCAGCCTCTACTCCACTCGCCGAGCCACCGTGCCGGAGGCAAGCACGCGACAGGAGGGAGGACAGTGGCGCTGACGGGAGGGAGGGGACGGCGGCGACTCGGGGAGGAGGATGGCGGCGCTGACGGGAGGGAGGGGGACGGCGGCGCATAGATGTCCTCCTCGATCTCCTCCGGGGTGAGTGCCACCAAGAACGGCGCGCTTTCTAGCGTCGGGACGAGGACGGCACGGGCACCGCCGCCGCCCACAACATGGAGGCGGCTGGGCGCCGCCGTGTCCACTGTAGCAGGTTCCACGGCCTCGCTGCACCGTCCGCTTGCGGCTGTGGCAGGGCGAGAAGTGGAGGCGGAGGCAGGGCCTTGAACTCGGGCTCGGAGTCCATCTCTGCAGGTAGGCTCTCGGGCTTTGTCGTCGTCAGCGGCAGCGGGGGGTGGGGGGCTAGGCTGGGGCACGCGGAGACGGTTGGCGGCGTCTCGTAGGTGACCCATGAGCTTCACCCAAAGCTCCTCGATCCCACCATCGAAGGGAGTTGGCGGCGGCGGCTGCCCCCACGGCTCGAGGTGGTGCGTCGACGTCGCGGCGGGCGGCTTCGCCCGCGGATCCGCCGTCGCCGCTATGGCCAGCTTATCGTCAGCAGCTACGGTGGCACGGCGCGGCGCGGAGAGGCGGCGGTGGCGGCGGCCGAGTCAGCGAGGAGGAGACGAGCGGCAGAGGAGAGGAGGTTTTGAGGCCACAGCGGGTCCAAAAAAAAAGGGAGAAGAGAAAAATTCCATGTCATCGTCCACGTGGCGTGCCACGTAGGCAAGACCACGGTCAAACGCGGCTTTGGACCGGGATGATACAATAAACTAAGTTTAGAGACCTCGATGTGCACTTTGCAAGTTCGTGGACCTAAGTGAAACCTCCTGACAAGTTTAAGGACCGCTGGTGCATTTTACTCTTAAATTTATGTTTTTTCCTGAAGTGGCGAGGCTGTAAGTAGACACTTCAATTTATTTCTCAAATGTAACAAACATTTTTTATATTTGTCTGAATTAATTGTATGGAATTTCTAATTATTTGCAAATAAGAACTAAAAAAAGAAGTTTGTTTATTAATGTTAGTTTTCTGTTGAATTTCTGTTAGTTTTCTGTTGAATTTCTAATATTGCAGTGTTACGGAGCTTCCTTAAAGTCTAGGCATTATGCGTGGAAGAGGCAAGAACAAAAGGATTTGAAGGTATTGTTTGAGCTTTCTTTGGATCCAAGGTCGAAATCAAAAGGGGGTTTCAAAAATGGATACCGTCAAGTTCTAGAGAGCGTACTTGGTAAGAGGTTGCCAAATTCTTGCCTTACTGCTGTTCTGCACATTGAGTCATGAGTGATGCACTTTAGGACCAAGTTTGGTGCAATTGAGTCAAGATGGTGCAGTGCGAGAAACAACAATATGATGATCATGGCAGAGTAAGTCATTGAACTAATTATTGATGATTATGGTTGCATCATTATTCTGGCTATTTTTATTTCATGAATTGATCCCAGTGACATTAGATTTCATGCCATTCTATTAAGTATTTAACAATTAACTCACTTTATTTTCTTATGTTAAGATTTTTTTAGTATCGCACGAAATCTCACTTTCTTTTACTCACTTTATTGTACTGCACATCTACATTGTCAGTAGATGACTAAATGCATGAGTATTATGTAACCTCGCAATATCTTGCTTTTACTAACTTCTGAAATTTTTTATTACCAGATGAAGCAATGAAGAAAAATTCATGTGATGGCTATATGTCATTTAATCTATCAGATGCTCATTACGAGATTTTGAATTCGTAGGTCATTTGACTTCGGGATTAGAGGCCTGCCTTTATTTTTCATGAGCATGTTCATTTTCAGTACTTTGAAATTTTATAAGCTTGCACTATGACAGTTTGTAATATTGTGCAGTTGGTTAAAAGACGATAAGACTGCTAGCTACTATCATAAACATGAATGTCACAAAATCTGGTACTGTTGTATAAATTGCGTTCAACAGCTTGGTTGTCACAAAATGACTTCTAAAACAGAGAAATAGAGGATTTAATTTGTGTTAGGTGCTTTCAAGCATGTGCAAATTTTAAAGTTGAGAACTTTTCATATACCTTTGATGAGTTGGAGACATTTTACTTGTTTTTATGCCTATATTCTTGTGCAATTAGCTATGTAAATCGCGTGGTTTACTCACGTTTGTTTTTTTCTTTATTACATGAAGATGAGATGTTAATATAATGATGCGTCCAATTCTCTGCTTTGTGATGCATGGTGTCCAATATTTACTCGAGTCTGAAGTAGATCTACAAGATCTTGTTCAGAGATCTTCCAGGATATGATGCTAGGCTGATATTAGATACAATTTCATGACTTCTAACTAGCTGCTTTCAAATATTTGCATGCCGAAATTTGTTGAGCTTCTTTATGTAGCTTTTGATGTCAGCTGCTATTGATATAGTACTGGAGTGTATCTTCCGCGAATGTTTCATAGCATATGCCATGCGCTTAATTGCATACTTGTATACCAGCTTCATTTAATCAGTTATTTGATCAATAGTTGTCTGGAAGCAAGCAGTTCTCCAAGCAAATGATCTTCCCAAAAGTTTCTGTTCCAAATTTCGAATCGTGTCCTGTGGATCGGCCTCCCGTTCCTTGGCTGCAACCCTCAACCAAACGCCGTAATGTAAACAAATGATGTTACCGTCTGCAACCAAACTAACCGTGTAATCGGATACAATGGTAGCTGTTACGGCCGGTGGCAATACCATGAGAGTTTACGTTACCACTTCCGAACCAAACACCACCCTAAGGTACTTCAGACAGTTCACCACCCGCCGTAAGGGTCTATAATTGCCGCTTCTTCCTCTGTGGCCTCTTTGCTGGGGCAGCACTTCCTCCTTTGTCTGACGAGCTTTTCGCCTCTGCTGGTTGCTTTGGATCCCTCCTCTTCCCTTGTTCCGCGACCACCTTATCAACTGCTTCATCATCACTGTCGTCGTCACCACTACCCTCAGAAGAATGATGAGCTTTCTTCCACGAGCCCTTCGATGTCTTTGCTGGTTGCTTCCTTCCTCTCTTTGATTCTTTTGTATCTTCCTCATCCTCTTGGATCTCATGGGTTGCCTTCACTAATTGCTTCCTTCCCCTCTTGGCAGGTTTAGCCTCTTCCTCATCATCGTCCACTTCACGAGCAGCTTTATTTGATTTGCTCTGTTCTTTGCTTATTTTCGCTCTGCTTGCTGTTGCATCAATCCCGTCCAGCTTCTGCAACTCTGGCACATATGCTGAAGTCTGAACAAACAAGTGAGAATGGGATCAGCGATCAGCGCAACGCATGAAAGATATATTGAGCTTGATCCAAATGGGTAAAGGACTTACCCTGCCACCAACTGTAATGAAGTCAATTTTCTTCCCTGCAAGCAACAAAACTCAATCTTCAATAATGCTAAGCATCACGAACACATGTTTTACCAAAGAAAAGATGATCAGACCCTCCACAAAGGCCTTGCCGGGTTTCTTCTCCCTGGAGTGAAATATCCAGTTTTCTGGATACTGACTGCTGTTGCAACCAACTTCTAAGGACTTTTCAATCACCTAGAGTCATAGACACAAAAATAAGATTATCATACACAGAAATGGACTCCTTATGCCAATAATGACATTGCGATATTATTGGGCCAGTAAAGACATTGCGATGAAAATACTCAACAGGTAAACCAGATTCCTATTGGGCTTAATATGCCAATATGTTGAAACATTTCTAATATTCAGTTATATTTTCAATGTATATGCTAACATGATACATTATATAAGAGGTGTTTTTCTTGAGTTCAGGCAAGACACAAAAAACAACTGTGCATATCTAGTATTCAGATATCAGTATATGCTAACATGATACATTACTCAGATATCAGTATCTAATTCGTATATAAAATGCAATCATTTTTTTATATATGGTTGAATTGATAAATAAATAGAAAATGCACCCAAGTTCACAAATCAACTAGATGGGTACCCTTCGTGTTGCCGTGGGAGAATTGTGATAAAATAGTCGATATGAGTTATAAAATTTTCTTTTTTACTTATTATACCATTTTCTTTCATTTGCTTATATATTTTGTACATTAATCAATTATCCAAAGGTTATAAATGATTGAGTTGTATGGTGTGGCTTTTGGGGAGGAGATGCAATTTGCACCCTTGATGAAATCATCTAAAGGCCAAAAACAATTAAGGTGATGTAGCTTCATGAGAGAAGAGAGAATTAGCATTAACTAAACTTAGTGGGGATGAACTTTATAAATATATAGGATGCCACATGCTATCCATTCCTAAAGAACAACCATGTGACACACATCACACTAACCTCTATAATGCACTGATGGAGTGCCTTGCATTTCTCCTTAGAAATCATCGATGCTGTTTGCATTGGATGAATCCTTGCCTACGCATCAAGCAAGCAAAGGATGAAACATGCCTATGTTTTTTTATGAAAAGAATAACACAAAAAATAACCTAGTATTATACAATTTAGATGCCCAAAGAAGGTTATGTCTAAAACAAGGCCACATCTTTGTTGGTTAAATGGAAGACAAATTTTACTACAGGATGCTCAAAATTTGTGTAATTTGCTGGCAGACATCGTAAAAACATGTCATGGCTGAAAGACACTAAAAAAACTAGGAATTTGCCGGAGGACACTTTCAAAAAGGTGAGAATGCCCCTAGGCCAAAAAACTTCTGACCTGAGGATGTCGTGAAGATGGAATATGATGTATGCTAGCAATGTAGTTGGGGTAACGACAGATTTACAGTTGCATAGTTTTCAAATATTCACTCCAACACCATGTTTGAAGCCTATGGCTCCAGGGGTATTATCCCCTATTTGAAGAATTTCTCACTCCAATTGAGTTGAGAATGTCCTCCGGCAAGCTACCGATTTTCTAGGGTGTCTTTCAGCCGTGACATGTTTTTGCGATGTCTACCAGCAAATTACACAATTTTTTGGGTGTTCTGTAGAAAAAAATGCCTAAATGGGGATACATGATATTCCCATAGAAGTAGCACTTTATTTGACACAATCACTTAAACCAAAGCTAAATCCCACATGTTAGGTTCAACATCATATCTCATCTATGGCCTATATCATGAGGATTGGGTACATGGAAGAAACAAATGGCTCAGGATTGATGGCCCGGAGAAGAGAATGTGTTACGGGCTTAGGTCATGGGATGGAGAAGAGAGAACGATATATGGGTAAATATATTATTCTATGGTCAAACACTTAAACTCAAATAAAGCTGCCCATTTTATATGACGAGACAAGCCCAAATAAGAATATCTAGCCAACCAGATAACTAAGCAAATAACTAATCTTTAGTTAACAAATTGGAGTACTACTACTAAACATGTAATTCATGCACAGGTACTGCACCATTTCCAGCACAGCCGAGCTGCTTGTGACATGTGCCAATTGGGCCTGCTGCCGTGGCCTCCAAACAACCTATGAAGCTAAGGCCCTGTTTGGATCATTTAGTCTCTGGACTAAAATTACTAAATTAGTCCGTAGACTAAAAACTTTAGGCCCCTACTGTTTGGATTCAGGGACTAAAAGGGACTAAAGGCACGTGGACCGAGGGAGAGAGAAGAGAGGCTGCCACTTTAGTCCCTATAAGTTCCTCCAAGAGGGACTAATGGAATTTTAGTCCCATATGCACTTTTTAGTCCCTTTTAGTCACCCCTGTTTGGATTCTTAGGGACTAAAATGGAGGGACTAATGGATTAGTCCCATGAACCAAACAGGGCCTAAATTATTTTTTACAACACTGGATACAATATTCAAAATTTTGTGTGTTTGGGCAGCGAAAAGTTTTTGGTCAGCAAATAAACATGTAATGTGTTTGTACAGTGACAGTTTTCTGTAGTTTCAAGCCAACTCTAGGGAAACTGACCTGATAAAGCACTTCATCTGCAATCCAATTGCCAATTCCTGATATAAAGCTCTGAAAAACATGATTCAGAAAAACAGTCTTAGAAGCTAGCAGAATCAAAAGTGTAGTATTTACTGTGGTATTTAGACTACATTTGGGTATAAAATTGTAATATCTTAATTTACTAGTCAAACACACAAATTACTGACTTTCAGGTTCACTAACCAAATCTGGGCAACAATTGACAAAGACAACTTTTTAGTTATTTCTGATTCCCACATATATAAGGGAAAATTTCGCCTTCTGTTACTAAGCATGCATAATTTCAGATATCCAATTGTTACACTGCAGATCTTTGATCAGAGAACGGAGCATTAAAGATTGATACCTGATCAAGCAAAAGGGCTTTTATTGGAGCTTTTTTCCTACTTAGTGACTCTACAAAATCATCAAGATGAAGAGGTTCAAATAAGGCATCTGGTCCAAGCTCAGAAATTGGTGGGACAGCTTCTGGCTATTATAACATGCAGACAAAATTCCAAAGTGAATTACTGCAGCATACTGAAGCTATAAACTTTGAAGTCAAATAATCACTAGAGAGTTACATTGTCAAGAAAGCGAATTTTTGCAAAACGCCTCTTATCAGTGAAGGAAAACTCCAAACCATCATCCATCTGTGATGTTGACAGAAATAAAAATGAACCTGATGTAAGTTAAAGTGTTAAACGGATCATTAGTTGACGTCTGCCTCAGGACTGAACTGCATGGAGTATCATGAGGGATTAGAGCATTTCCAAACAGAAAGTAATATTCTTTTCACAATATGGAGAGAAGGAAAAACAATTAAACATGCAAGCAAAGTCACCACCAAAAGTATGAATTCCAATATAATATATTTACTAGAATCCTTCAATAAACTTAAGTGCAATGCATAACATACATATTTCAATCATTAATAAAATTAAAAAGACTGAACAAGATAAATATGTCCAAGAAGCAGAACCCAGAGACAGGTCACAAATCACATAATCCTACATGAACAACCCCTATAACACTCTCGGTGTTAACTTAGGTGCTAGGCACTAGATGGGTGGCTTGCTAGCACCTAATGCATTTCTGCACTTCTATTAATGGAATAAATTCAGTTTGACAGCACACTTCCCACGGTGACCTTATCTAGAAGTAGATAATATATGCAAAAAGTACATAAACCTCACACAAACAATATTGTTATACTTGCCTTTGAAAGTATTTTCAAAACATGTGGATTTAGCTCCTACAATTTACTAGTACATTACTATAAAATCAATGCAGTCAAAGTCTTGGATTGAAGACCACAAAAACACAAAATAATCTTTATTTGGATATGGAAGGAGTATTTCAAATTCATCAGTGAACTGGCGGATGCATTAAAAAAATAGGTGTGGAATAGAAGATTAGAATCCATACTACAACAAGCAGCTTGGAATACTTCAAAGGCCATTCCTCAGTCGGGCTCACTGCAGACCTATATCAAATGCCACACGAAAAATATGCTAAATATTTTAGTTGAACTAGCCAAAGTGTCCGTGCATTGCAATGGGAAGAAAATGGAACAAATTGTGTACATGGAGAGAGAGCATGATCGGCAAACAACCAAGTAAGATGGCAATGTGGAAGGAGAGATAGAGCGGTTGTTCTACGGTAATGAAGGCGACATATGCTAGAGCAAGAGGGGATGGGATTTTGTTTAGATAAAAGAACTGAATTTCTAGCATAATAAGCCGATTATGAACTAATAAACAAAACTTTCAATCTTTTTATGTTCTTTTATACGGTACATACATCAATTAGTCTGCCCCATGAGTAGTACACTATTCAAATCATGCCCACCTTCCTAACAAAAAATTATACAAGGAATTTTCATTATAAATACTGACTAGCCAAAAAATTGATAACCGGCACAGGCACCAACCCTAAAAATATGTATGTCAACCCCTATATTTATGTGAAACAATAAGAACTTAATTTTATTTTAATATACGGTTTGAGTCCTTTTTTTGTCATTCGGATAATTTAATTCGTTTCTAAAAAAAGATAATTCAACTCGTATTTTTTTCATTTACCAATTGACCATGCGATGGGTCCTCCAGGGAAAAAAGGAAATTGTTTCTTGCACACTGCGGGCCTACCTTGGAGAGGCAGCCCACAGCATGGCTTGCAAGCAGCAGCACCTCACCGAGTCCTATACGGACGGCAACAAAAATACTTCAAATGGAAGCCAGCTAGCTATGGGCCTAGCCCAGGCAACAACACGGGCCATACGCACCGACGGCAGAGGACAAGAGTGCACAACGCATGCACCAAATGGGAACACATATACAACACGGACGACGTACCAAACGTTTGGCAAAAACATTTACAGTTCTTATAATAGTAGAGATAAACTACAACTATTCCAACCAATTTAATAGACCTAACGGACACTTATTAACACTTAGCAGACACAAAATTCTAGTGGATATATATTATATAGACATGATCACATATTGAAATTCTACAAGACTGTTGAAGTATTGTCACAGAGGCTGGTCCACTGGACATAACTAGATTGCCGCTCAAATGATTTTTTTTTTTGGTTTATGCAAGCATATTGCTTTAATAATATCCCAAATAACTCTTATCACGAAATAACATCCACCCATACAACCCAAGGAAGGCATATTCACATTATGTTTTCTCTAGTATCAATGAAAAATAGAAAAAAGTATATGAAAACGTTGACCATCTATCTACTTAAACTATTTGTCGTCATAGCTTTTCACAGATTTTTCTGACATTTCTAAAAAAATTACGACAAAAACCATAACAGAATAGAATCAGCACAGGGTGTAATTAACAGTGTAACCAAACTATGTATTTGATTGTGTCTCTCCAGTTATGTCAATTGGAATCATAACACTTTCCTGAAAGTGGAGTAAAATCATCTATTCGCCAAATATAGGGCTTCCTAAGGTTCCACGATTTCATGGAATACACCAATAGATGAAAATTTTCTTTTGCAGAATCACCAACAGGCATCAAGAACATTAGGCGGCTGCAAATGTTTCAGTACAAATTGATTGTATCTGCTAATGAAGAAAAGCATGCAGAATAGTCCTAAATAGTTAAATATAAAGCTAATACTTAATATTGTATGATTGATAAGCCATTTCATTGTCTTGTTTAATAAATTATGTGCCACTGACCTTTTGTATTTGCTCAGTTCCACACCCTTGATGTAAATAGCTCCAGCCATTCCTGTAACAGAAACTAACAATTAGGTACTGTTTGTAACTTTGTATACTTAGAACTTAAAAGGGTTAATGCACTAAATGACCCCTGAAATTGACAGTGGCCTCAAATTGGTCCTTCAACTATTAAAATGTCCAAAAGCAGCCCTCTAAACATCAAATTTGGCCCATTTTAATGTCAATGCTGGCACACTGAGTTAGTGCCATTGCACTTTTGCTGAGTCAGAATCACACATGGCGGAAAGACTGAATTGTAACTCGGCAAAAACTGTAAAATCAAGATTTTTTTTTCTCTCGAAAACGCAGTTGAGCTGCGTTTCATTTCATTAATAAGGAAGAAAACGTATTTACAAAGAAAAGGGGCAAAGAGAAACTGTAATCAAGATTTTGGTGGAATTTTCACTAGTCAAAAACTGCACTGAAGGTTCCAGTACAAATTTTACTCACCGGAGTTCCTTAACCTGAACTTTAGCTAGTCACACCTCTCCTTCAGTATTTGTTCACCTTCATTTCTTTTTTATTGTTTTTTAGCTATTGCGTACTTAATTTTGTGTTTCCGTTTCTTTAGGTAAGACACGAATACTAAGATCCAGATAGCTGTAGCACGTGGAGAAAGACTAGAAGTGTAGTTGTTGATTGACAAATATGTTGTGATCAAATGCTCCAAGAAAGTTGACATAACACAAAAAAAATGAGGTGCCTATGATAATGCCGGATTACCAAAACAACCATTGTGCTTAGGCACTCCATTTAGCACTCCAAGAGTTGCGCATTTAGTTTAATAGTAATTAATTACCTTATAGGCATTCTGTACAAAAGAAAACCTACAGATATATATTTACACTACTACCAGAACTAAAATAAGGGACTCGCTAAGAGCAGCGTCAACGAAACATGAAAAATCCACAAGAACAGCATGACACAAGATTCCAAAATGTCACAAATAAAAAACAACTCAAGAAAAACCCTAAACCTCCTGAAGAACGGTTCTATCTTAAAAAATAATAGTAATAAAAAGAAAAGCAATAAATGGTCCATTGCGGAAAGGAAGGGAAATGTGACTATAGAGAGGGTGTGGAGATCCACGGACCGAACTGGAAGGAAGGGAAGGGCGGAGAATCAAGCGCAAGCCACAGATTCTTGCCCTTGCGGCGAGCAGCGGAGATGGTCCTCCCGACAAGCGCTGCCTCCAGCCGCGGCGGGGCGACGCCGTCGATGACCTTGGTGTCATCTGCAGCCGAGCACCGCACGATCCTCTTCCCGACGCAGTGCTCCTCCAGCGCCCGTCGCGCCACCTCCACCTCCGGCAGCTCCGGCATCTCTCCTCAACCTCTCCCTCGTTGGGTATATCCTCCTCTTCTCTTATTTTTGCACCGGTTGGATCCCAGAATCCCCAGATTCCCCACTTTAGAGCCTGTTTGGGAGAGTTTGTCCCCGCTGCAGCTTTTTCCAAAAGCCGCTTCTGCTAGAAGCTGCCTCAAGCAGTCCATAGCTTCTGAGAATATGTAGTTACAGATTCTAAAAAATGAACTAAGAAGCCAGAAGCTAGAGAAGCTGGGTTTTAGAGCTTTTCCAGATTCTCGGAAGCTGGCTACCAAACAGCTGTTTCTCAGAATCTAAACCTCCCCCAAACACCTCCCCCAAACAGACCCTTACCCCAGTCTGAAAAGGTTAATTTGAAAAGGTAGGAGACCCCTCCTCTTACCGCTTCTTTGACAAGAGGATTGTAAGGGCAAAAGCAATGTGTCATCCATTTATTCAGCCCCGGAGGACCAAATAGATTTAAGTCCTTTAAAAGTCTCAGGATCCACAATGCAATATGGCCTCAAACAAGATCCAAACCTATCTATAGCCACACATGGGGATACACAGCCCACAGTGGACGTGACCAAGCCCACATAGCCAAAGCGATACGAGCTAAGGCGAAATGACCTGGGTACCCTCAAAACCGTGCCCTTTGACTCGGTCTCGTGAGTGGGGACGAACGCATCGCCTCTTCTCCTCCGTCGATGCATCGCCTCCTCTCCTCCTCACGCACCTCCCATGAGCCGTCTGACGTCGCCGACATGAAGCTCCGGAGTGGCTTCGTGCACGACCGGACATGGCCATGGGCTATTGTCCCAGTGGTGCGGGTCAATTTGTTGCTGTTTGAAGGTGGAGAGCCGGCGGAGAGCTCGGACTTGTCGGTGGAGATGTGGACCGAAGATGGCGACGACGTCCAGGTTTATCCAGATGGTGCCACTTCCCGACGTATGGCGCCGCCACTTTCCCCAAGGAAGCCCCACCAGGACGTGGTCTAGGTTCCATCCCTCTCTAGGTCGTCGCGGCTTTCCCCAATGACACTTGCCCCACAGCGCGCGTGTCACGCCCTGAAGTTTTCCTTCCTAGCAAAAATTCAATTGATAAATTGTTTTAAGAAATTATTTGTTTAAAGGCAAGAGAGAAACCCTAAATTAATAAATACAGTTAATAATCGGAATCGGCGTGTGGAATTTTTCTTGGATTCTACGTGTCAAAATATGCTAATAGGATTTTTAATGGAATTTTCAGAGCCTTGGAAATAATTTTAACTAATTAAAAATGAGCATGTGTAATATTTAAATCCTAGGAAAAATCTTTTTTCCTTTTTCTTCTTTTCTTTTTCCCTTTTTCCTTTGTTGGGCCGTCGGCCCACTCCTCCCGCACGCCCGCCCTCCTCTCAGCTGGGCCGGCCCAAGCCGCCTCCCTCCTCTCCCCGGGTCACCGACAGGTGGGGCCCACCTGTCGCCCCCGTCTTCAACCTCTGACAACCGCAGCCGCCGCCGAAACCGCCCACGCCGCCGCCGTTTCCCGCCCTTCCCGCGCCCACTCCTCCCCACTCCGTGCCGCGCCCACGTCGTCACCCCCTCTCCGCTCCTCCCGCCCTCGCGCGCCCGAGAATGGGCGGGATTCGTTTCGAATCCCCCAAACTCTCTCTCCCCACTCCCCCACGTCGCCGGCCAAATCGGGGGGTTTCCCTGCCGTGTCCGCCCCTCTCGAGCCCCTATAAGGCTTCCCCGCACTCCCCTCCACCTTTTTCCTCTTTCCACCGCTCCCTCCCGTGCCCTCTATCGCTCTGGCGCCGCTACACCCGCCGCCGTCGCCTTTTCCACTCCTCCGGCAGCCGCTCGCCGCCGCTAGCGCCGCCGCCGAGCTGCGCCGTCGTCGTCTTCAGGTTCACATGGCCGAGGGCTACCTCGTCCACCCCTCCTCCATCGAATTCCGCCATCGGAGGCCGCTGTTCGCCGCGCGCCGGTGAGCCCTTCCATAGCCGCCACCGTCGGCCATGGCTCTCGCTCGCCGTGGACTCCCTCTCTCCCTCTAAGCTCTCTCATTTCCTCTCTTAGGGTGTCCTGGAGCTCGGCCACTGTTCGCCGTCGCCCTCCGGTCGCTCACCGTCGCCGTTCGTCGTCGTCTCCTCCCGCGCCGGCTGAACCCCGGTGAGAACTCCCTCCTCTTCTCTTCCTCTCGCGCGCGCCGCCGTTCCCATATGCGCGTCACCGCGATGCGCCGTCGCCCGCGTCGCCGGCCACCGCCGTCTTCTCGCCGGCCGCCGCCGTCTTCTCGCCTGTCGCCGCCATCGGTGGACGCTTGCCGCCGCCGCCGTCGGTGGTCGCTTGCCGCCGCCGCCCTCGCCATAACCGGCCGGCCGGCTTGAAGCTGAGCCGACCAAGGCCGTCTTCCTCCTCCCCTTTAAGCCACCACCTGGTGGGGCCCACCCGCCAGGTCACCACCCTCTCTCTTGTGCCGCTGACCCGTGGGCCCCGCCTGTCGGCGCCGCCCCACCCCTTGGATGACGTCAGCCCTGGGACATATTGCGCAATAAATACATTAAGGCTTTTCTTTATTAGTAAAAATACAGATAATCTTCTAAAATTCATATCTAATTCATCCGAGCTCCGTTTTAGTCCATTCAAGTCTCAGTAAATTCGTAAAAATGTATAGAATCCATTAAAAATGGTTTTGTCTCCTGTTTCAGTAGACTTATAGCATGTTTTGCTTGTGTGCTTTGTTTTTCGCGTAGATTTCGGTCGTTTCGTCGATCCGTGGCTCCTCGAAGACGTTGCTATGGTCTCATCAGTGGAAGAGCAAGGCAAGTCATGTATTACAATTGATCAGATTGTACCCAATTTACAAATGTCCCGCATTTCTATTAAATGTTGCATTGTTTTACAATATCATGTGGGATGGGTCCTACTACTCAGCCATATATTGTTTACCTTATGCCATCGATAACTTGGGTATCAAAATGATTAGATGTTGGTTTAGGGAACGCTTAGCCATGCTTAGTTCAACTAGTACACAAAGGGGAATCACATTAATGCATAGACTTTGATTATTGGCATAGCTTTGGATTAGTGCCACCGCAATGGTGTTAGTTAATTAAAATACACTACATGGTGGGCTGTGGGTGCATGGTTTTGCTAGTTGTGCCCATGGCGATTAAGGACCGGTTCGCGGGAAACCCTGGAAGAATTTATCGTGCTTACCACAAGCCAGCGTGGGCAACGACTGGGCTTGTAGTATAGCTTCCCTCTAGCCGACGTACCCAGGCGAGGGTGGGTGTGATGGTGTTGGGTCGGCCGGGGTGTCCGGTTGATCGGCTTCCGGATTCACCGCGGCACGAAAGGGGGGCTGCCCGTTGCCCGCTGGGGACGGGGGCGAACCCTAAGGTGTGGTGCGATCGGTTAGAGGGGGTTATGCGAAGGGTCCTGTCACGGCCTCTTTTCAGTATGTCGTGGTGGCATGTCGGCGCACGGAAACGTGTCGTGGGGCTGTGTCTTGTGGGTACAGTTGTACACCTCTGATCAGAGTAAAACTATTCGAATAGTCGTGCCCGCGGTTATGGGCGGTCGACCAGATTTACCGTAATTAGTCTCACCCCTAGTTAGCTAATGGAACTGGTTAGTTCAGGTGGTGGTTTGGGCCTGTCTTAACGTGGTGTAGCGTTGAGCAGTGATTGGTTAATATTGATTAATTACTGCAACTGTTTTACTGCTTTCAACTACTGCTTTTAAATGCTAGCTTTATGCAAAAGAACCTTTAGCCTCCCTTGGATATATCCTGCATCATACCTCCTCTTCTGGTATGACTTGCTGAGTACAGTGGGTAGTACTCAGTCTTGCTCTCTTTTTCCCCCACACCAGAGTTGAAGTTCTTCTCAGTTGGTGATGTCTCGAAGAGGTTGGTTTCGTCGCTACCGTCAAGGATTGCCTGTGGAATGGAGTCGCCCGCTGCAGGAGTCAAGTCTTCAGGCTTATCTCGTTTTTTTCTTTTCCACTGCATTTGTAATCTTTTATATTTTTGTAAGACGTAGATTTGTATGTCAACAATTGTCGTTTGTGTACCCTGGCTGGTCCTGGACAGGGGTTTAATGCACATTCAGCTTAGAAATTCTGGTTCGTGAATTTTTGGGCGTGACAAGTTGTTATCAGAGCCGACCTTGACCGTAGGACAAGCCAACTGGAAACCCTAAGAGCCCTCTGAAACCTTTTCATCTGCACATGCCTTTTGCACTTGGATTTGTTTTGGGAAAATTTTGGGGTTTGCTCTTTTGATTCGTGGGAAAAATCTTGATCGCTATTTCAATTGGATTTATCGACTAGGAATAGTATGGTGTTTTAGAAAAACATTATTTGGAATTTATTTGGCAGTCAGTCGGGAATTTGTTAGGTGATATGCACTAAGTCGTGTCTAGGTTCGATGGGCAATTTTATGTGTGTATTATAGCTATGCATCTATTTTGTGCATTAATTTATCGTTTAGTCAGTTGCATTAGTATCTTTGTCTGGGTTCATGAAAAATGTTCCACGCATAAAAATCATCATGCTCGGCGAGTTACTTGAGTCATTTGTTGCTTTATTTAATTTGGTTTTGAGCATGTGTTGGTTCCTATCCTTCTGTCCTCTTTAGATGTTAGACCTGTTCCTCGTTCGCAAGCGACGCTCCAAGCTTCAGAGTCGTCGCCTTTAGCCTTATCATCTTCTTAGTTTTGATTGCTTGCTAGTTTCTGTGTTTAGGTTTGTTGCTTGTGGGTTAGTCGGCGGTCGATATCAAGTGCCAGTGGTATGGCTGCCTTAATTAGGAGTTGTTTGCTTCCTTTTCAGTTTTTTAATCAAGATTAAGATAATTGCACTTAAATTTACAAGAAAGATTAGTTGCCGAGCCATCTGTTTTATTCCTTTCTCTTATTTCTACCTATCCTCGTCCAGATGGTGAAGACAAGGAACGATCCCCGTGACTCCAACGATGCCAGTGGCAGCGAAGAGCAGACCGATGGAGCTCATACCAGTGGTGCATCTAGCAGCAGTCCATCTCCACCGCCCGAGAACCCAATGGTCACTCAGATGATGACAATGATGATGCAACAGATGCAACAACATTACCATCAGATGTTGCAGCAGGCGCAACAGAACCAACAGTTTGGTCCCCCACCATCCCACTTGTCCAAACTGTTAGACTTTCTCCGCATCAAGCCACCCACTTTCTCAA